TACTTTAGCTAATATCAATACACATATTCTCGACGAATGGCACGAAATACTCGGCCATACGTACCCCCAACCGTCACGCGCAAGATACTGAAGGATAACAACATACAACCTGCAGCACAGCCTAAACAGACGCATGACGACTACAAACTACACCCAGACTTATACCAAGCCCATGTAGTTGAGCCATTCGGCGAAGTAGACATAGACATTTTCACCAATAAGCAGAATGCGCAAGTGCGCGTCTATTGCAGCCTCGAACCGGATGCCCCGCTATATGACGCATTTTAAAAGTCGTGGACACAAAACAAGAAACACTTGTACGCAATCATACCATTCCGTAAAACTACCTGGCGAGAGACCTTACTCGGGCTTGAAAAGGAAATCGGACTCGTCACGATGGTATTCCCACTCACACCGGGACTACGCAACTATAAACAAACACTGCTACAACTCCATTCATATGTAGAGATCATTCGCACGAATGAGAACACCTTCCTCGAACATGGAACTACTCCTGTGGGACCTCCCAAATGGCGATACATTTGCATTGCGCGAGTAGGCAACACAAAGCATGCCGTCTCACCCACAGAAGACCTACTGTCGGCAGAGGCCGATATAATTGCACACCCACGCGAACTCAGTTTCTGCACGCCTTGCGTAAAGGGGAAGATGAGACGTCGGCCGGTGTCACGAAAACAGAAAGCCGAAATGACTCTCCCACCTGTCGGCACGATATTCCATGTGGATTTAGAATCTGGGCTTTCCACCTACGCCGAATGGTTACACAGCAAACATCAAATACGTTGATGCGCGCACAGGGCAACCCTTGTGTATCCTCTGAGAACAAAAGATGAGGCAACAGCGACGCTAGATTTATTCTACACAGACATAGGCAAGGAGTACATTGCTAAGCTCAGAGAACTTAAGATATGACCGAGGCGGGGAATTTTTCTCTAATGAATTCCAACGCGTCAACACGCAACAACACGTCAAAGTGCTATTCACCCCTACCAACTCACCGGCACTACATGACCTAGTCGAGCGCACAAACGGAGCCATCAAGAACATCACCAATGACTACCTAAAACATAGTAAACAGCCCGAATGCATGTGGGCCGAGGCAATGGCACTAGCAACAATATCTAAGGCTGTACAACCGAACAAACACAACCCCGACATGAAGTCATCATGGGAGTTATTCTATGGTGAAAAGCCTACAGAACGCCTGAAAAACATACATGTCTATGGCTGCCAGGTCGCATTTGTGAACCAAGACCAGGATGGGAAGCTCGATGATAGGGCAACTCTTGGCGTGTATCTCGGTCATGACCGTAACTCTAAGTAATACGACGATTACCGGATCTTGAGTTTAAAATCGGGCAGGATCTGTCACTCACGGGACGTTAAGTTTAACTACCGTGTCTTCTCGACCTGGAATATGGTGGGTAACACACCAGTACCACTATTCGATACACCAACGACAGACGTACCTACCATTCGAGATCTAACACTTGAGAATTTTTCAACTCTGTGAAGGTATTCTTTATTTACTTTTGTACTCCGTATTTATACTATTTTTCGTCAAAATTGAACGGCCCTTTCGACTCGAAAATTTCCTTTGCCAAAGAAATTCCAACGGACGTGCGCGGTCTAATTTTAGATTCTATCTCTAAAAATACAAACACAATTCTTCAAATACACTTAAACTTCTAAGACTCACAACTCAATGAATATTCACTCAAACAACTTGAATAAGGTGTCATATGAAAGGGAAAAACATTTCCTATCAAATGATACCTGTAACAAAATTACACATATAATAGATCAAACACAATCGGCGTACGAACCACATTCGTAAACACAACATACAAAGAACATACTTAGATAATTGGTTCCTCGATGGACTAGGTCTGAGTCCAACGCTTAAACATCATTCACCTTTGACAATATGATTTTTCTACAACACTAGCGCTTACAAACAATAATACCGCTGTCGCACCAGAAACTGACACATCAAGTAGTGCACATAATACTGCAGACGACTCAACGGTAGCATACAGCACACATGATGCAGACACCATCACAGCCCAAGCAACACACACAATCCAACGGGCTACTAATATGCCACAAAACACTGACAATGCTGCCAGTGACAGATATACAACTCGCACCATGGAAGATACAATCAACAACTCGCTAAGTAAATATATTGCAAAACATTCTACGTCACGCACACTTAAGGAACTGCTCCTACCATCTCGGCAGAATACTGGCCCACTTCACGAACTAGCCCTACCCGGAAATATGCGTATGACTAGAACACGCGCACAACAAATGCAAGTATACAATCAGCAAAATCAGCACAGCAACACTGCGGCAGCATCACATAAGCGGCAACAGCTTCACCCGCAGCTACTGCAGCCACCACTCCTATCAACACCGCGCCAGTCAGGATTACAGTTGCAAACATCCTCACAATGCCGGCAACACCAGGGGAGACCAATAGTGCCACTCTGATAGAGATTCCAGGGGAGGCAGTTGTAGCAAATCCAGTCGCTACACCAGGAGCGACGAATGCCACATGCGTGATGAACCCAACGGACACCAGTGAAGCACCTGCAACGGAGAACCCAGGGCAGACTGTACATTCAGCAGCATAGCCACACGCAATAAAGCACAGGGTATCATGGGCAGCTGACTTAGAAAATGTGGACCGCCTTCTTCGGCACAATAACAGCAGCTTACCACAAGACACTGCACTTGACCTCACTACCAAGGAATTCAACTTACGCCACAAGCACACACGTGCACTCGAACGCGTAAAACGCGCGCATAAACAAAACAAGGCAGACAAACAATTCCCCCGCGCCGCACTGAAACACACACGCACAACAACAAACAGAGCTCTGTTGAGTCTACGCGACACTGACACACACCTAGTCAGCGATGGGGAGATTGGGGAGGACGATGGCGACCACGACCTTCCCATTCTTATCAACACAACAATTCCATAAGCAGCAGACAACCATCTAGAACAACAGCAGGAGCTATACAACAACACAGTGCACATAATCTACAGTATTTGTACCGCAGTGCAAGAAAATCCACTCACCTTGAAAACCATTCGTCAGGCATTGAAGGGCGAGGACGCTGAGCTCTGGTGTGAGTCACTCTTACGTGAGATCGACAGTCTGAAGAAGGCAGGTACATACGACTTGATTCATCTCGACGATGTCCGTGAAGAAGCACAACGGTTACGAGTAGGTGGGTGTTCCAGATAAAAATTATCGACGGCGTCGTGGACAAATACAAATCACGACTTTGTGCTTGTGGTTTTACACAAACCAAAGGCATTAACTACAATGAGACATATGCACCAACATGCAGCCATAATACCCTCAGGACAGGGCTCTCAGTTGCAGCCTCTGCCGGATGGCATGATAAACAAATGGATGTTGACAGTGCTTACCTGTACGCGGATTTGGACCAACCAATATATATGACTGCACCGAAGGGCTCGTCCAGTGTAGGCCTCCCTGAAGATCGGTTTGTGAAGCTGAAGAAGAGTCTGTAGGGGCTTAAACTGTCTGGACGCCTTTGGCACACACTAATCAGAAGCAAACTCCTCAATCTCGGGTTTAAGGCATCTGCCTCCGACCCATGGCCTATTCATCGCGGACTCTGATACTCTCTCCTGTGTCCTGGTCCTATATGTGGACGACCTGATCATCTGTGGGAAGACAGCCGGTGATGTAAGCAAGTTTAAAACACTGTTGCAGCAAGAATTCAGCTGCAAGGACTTAGGGGAGACTCCCAATGGTTTCTCGGTGTATGTGTTCTCACAACTCAAGACTCAATTAGTCTCATCCAAGATAACTATATCAAAGAAGCCCTGGAAACATTCGACATGACCGATTGCAACCCAGCACCGACACCAGCTACGATGGATCCCGTCAGCAAAAACACTGGTCCGAGTTTCAAGTGTGCCTACCGCGAACTCATTGGTACGTTACAATATCTCTCAGTACTCACACGAGTGGACATCACATACGCCAGTACTCACACGAGTAGACATCACATACGCACTAAACACGCTGGCACAACATATGGATAATCCATCAAAACAGCACTGGCACGCTGGCCTACGCATCCTTAAATACCTTAAGGCGATTCCTGGCCTTACTTACAGCTTCAAACCGGGTCCACCCGTCGCTGATGGTCTTGTCGATGCTGACTACGCCGCTTGCCCCGATACCCGCCGATTCACTACAGGCTTCGTGCTGTGGATCAACGGTGTACCTGTATTGTGGAAATCTAAACGTCAGCCTACATTGAGTACAAGTACCGCTGAATCTGAGTACTTAGCTGCATTGGAAGCATCGAAGGATATCCAATGGCTGCGCAACATCCTCGGCGAACATGGATTCCCCCAGCACGAACCTACAAACCTGTACTGTGACAACAAATCGGCCATCCATGCCATCGCATCTATAGGCCCTACCAAACATCTCAAACATATCGATATCAGGGTTCCATATCAAGGAGCTCCAAGAAGCCGGTATTATAAACGCCACATATGTCACGTTCCATTATAGTCAAGCGGACATTCTGACGAAAAACACGGCACGACCGACGCACTCTCGCCACACCTCAGTAATGCTCACAACTGTCCCCCTACGCGATTCCGAGAAACAATCCAAGGGAGATTAAGGTGCATTAATGTACGAATGTATTCTCTTATACTTTCCAAATACCGATTCCAGGGGAGTTGTTAGGCATTTAAAATAATCAGTATTCATCAAGTAGTTCGGTACTATGAACTGTCGAGTGTCAAAATATGACACATACAAGATGAGCACAAATGTTCCCGCCACTGGATTGTAGGGCGGTTGAACACACGTATATACACCCTCAGCAGAGGGTCAAATAAATCACTTACTTCAGGTATTATTATTGTCTAGCACTTTTCTCGGGGAATAGTCATATGGTGGGTTCCCTTGGATATTCTGCATATCTTGCGGTTGCTAGGGTATGCAAATGTGTAGCCGTTGTCTTGCAATAAATTTTGTGAAACTAATTGTTGAATGAGTGGGGGACTAATATATGTCATACCAATGTTAGGTAGTATACCGCGCTCAGTGATCGTGGTAGTAGACTCGTCGGCTAGTTGCAGTGGGAAGATACCAGTCTCAAGTTTCATGAGGCGATGACGCGCTGTGGTATTGAAGTAGTTCCCGGTAGCCCCGCCGTCGATGAATAGTTTGTCGTTTGTAGATTTACTGGTCGGCGGATTGATACGAGTAATGTGGCGAATAGAAGGCTCGGGTGTATGATAGGGTGTTGCAATATAGGAGAAACTGCTTTTATTGCTTCGCTGGCTACTTACAATAGCTAGATAGTTTTGACGGTTACAATTGATGGTAGACAGAAGTGGAGATGTTTTGCAGTCTCGAGCCGTGTGTTGTGTGTCGCCACACTTTCCACATGCTTTGGGGCAACGGCCAGAATGGTGTTGAGTCGACCAACAGATATAGCACTGAAATTGTCGCGGGGTAGGAGTTTGGGAGGTAGTCGTCATAGCATTTAAACGTTTGATCAGGGCCTTGAGTTTAATATCCAATGGGTTGGTGGGTGGAGGAGTCAGCTTATTGATACAAGGGGGTCGTATGTTGTTCATCGTCTCCCATTCTTCGACGTAGAGACAGAGGTCCTGAATTGTGATATTGCCGGCGTGATGTGGTGGATCGACCAAGTAGATATCCTTTTGTCTGTTCCTGGTATAAGTCAGGAAGACCGGAAACAATTAAAATCTTGCATATAATCGGATAAAAATATTGTACCTAGTTCCCGTGCGTTGCGTCGTCCTTGCGGCGGAAACGGCGAAGATAGGCGTGGGTAATATATTTACGGTCCTTAGCCCTTCTGGGAGGTAGCGAATTGGGCGGCCGCCATGTCCGTGGCAGTGCGCGAGTCGTAGTCGAATAGCGGACGAAGATCGACAGTATATTCAGTAGCGGCAGAAAGGAATAAGTCGGTCTTCCAGGTGTCGTAATGTGTCCCAGAGAGGTCAAGATCCATTTGGACGATGGCTTATCATCATCAGCGGCAAGCATTGTAGGCTTGGCAGGGTTGGTGGCGACAAGGGGTGTGGGTCAGTGGGTTGGCTTCGGAGCGGTGGGTAGGGCGCCTCGTGGTGTTGAGCCGGGGGTGGGAGTGGTAACCGTCGTCGAAGGTGGGAGGGAGTTGGGCTTCTGCCTCAATCTGCAGGATAGAGTCGTTGTCCGGGATATCGTCGCCCATAACCTATCGGAACGCACAAACTTCTGAACAGAATTGGTTAAAGTTTATTGTTAAATATTATGGAATATTTGTACTAGAATAAACTATGGTAGATTTGTGATCCATACGATATCTCGTATAGTATCGGACACTGTGCTGCAATCCGCTTCGGTCAAGCTGATATCAACCAGTTTTTACGTATGACTTCGCCAGTGAACCGGCGTGTTGCTGATAGAAACGATAGTACCAGTATGTGAGTTACGCGTGAGGGGACAGGATCCCCAGTCCGAGTCCGTGTAGGCAGTATGTAGTGGCTGATGTTGCGGGTGTCAGATGGTGAAGGGCTAAGGTCTTGGCGGTAAGAAGTAGTAGATGATTTGGGTGAGGGCCACGTAGTGGGAATTAAGTGGTGTAACACTGAACGGCTGCCCATACACTCGATATAAGGGTCCTGCATAATGGCTATAGTGCCATGATGGGTACTGTGAACTATACGAAGGCGATGACGTAACAAGACTCAGGTCCTGTATGCTATAAGTGAAGGATTTGTGATCATAGAGCCATTTTTCGTGATCCGAGTCACGTACAACGGTACAGACAATATCGTTTACATAAATGACGAGGATGATATCGCGAACGGAGTGGAGCCACATGTCTTCGTCTTAGCTGACTCTATATGAAACCCAGGCGTCGGAGAGTACGACCGATGCCTTGGTTTTAAAGACGGCCGGATTGCTCGAGGCCCCGGAGACGTTTCAGCACTGTACTGGGGAGGAAGTAGTGTCCGAGCTCGACACTACCCTTCGGAGGAAATATGTAAACAGGGGTATCGAGCTTCAAATAGAGGTATGCCATGCCGTATTAACACAAAAAGTGGTGGACGGTCTGGTTCTGCTAAAAAGGTGCGGCGTGTGGTGAAAGATGCTGTTGCGGCGTAAGTGTTACAGAAGGAGTCCCCATTGTGCTGTTCATCACCACGTGCTACCATGTGCGCCTTATGGGTAGCGAGCTCACCATTCCCCCTCAATATACATACCTGGGGCGTATAATCTTAGCCGTGGACGGGACATCGATGATGGGAATAACGTCTGCCGGTTTGTTGCGCGCATGCGCCGCACGTTCGCGATCGATAGCCTGGGACCACTGTGGTCATTCAGGTGACGATTGAGCTTTGGAGATGCTCATAGAGACGGTGTCGTTCAAGAGCGCAACTGCGCCCGTCCGTGAGGAAAAATTCGGGACAGATAGTGGGGTTTGATGATTACGGCATCAGACGCGATGGGCCAACTGAAGACTACGGTATGCCAAACGGTGGCGATGCAATGCGATCATACGGTTGAGAAGGTGCCGGCCGTAGTGTACTGGGAGCGATCTTCGTGAAGGAGAGCAATTTGAACACAGAGAGTGGATGGCTCAGAGTCGGAGAAATCGGCGGCCGGCCCGGGGACGTTGTGTGAGGGGACGGCGGCGTGTAGAATGCAGCAAAATTGGGTTCGAATCCAAAGTCGTTGGCAGCATTGTGGGTGGGCTCTGGCAAGGGATCGGGAAGGGGTATCAGGGCTGGGGGAGGACGGATATATTGGGAGTGAGAGGGGGTGGTGTTGTGGGTGGGGAATGTATGCCATGATAGATCGTGGACGGCTGCGGAGGGATAGGAATGGGAGTTGACAGGAGCAGGAGGGATATAAAATTGCAATGGAAGCGGGAGGGTGGGGGTGGTTTAGAGGGAAGGGGCTGAGTAGATTGGGTATGGGCTGGGAGATGGGAATGGGGGATGGAATGGGATGTATTGCAGTGTTATTAATTAAGAACCTACTTTAATTGAGAATTATTAATTTGGAACTTATCAATTAGAAACTTATTAATTAATATCTTATAAATCAGCAATGTATCACTCGAGAACCTATTAATCAAGAACCATCGATGAAAAACATATCAATAAAAAACTTATTAATTGAGAACTTGTTAATTAAGTATTAATTAATAACATATCAATTAAGAACACATAATTGAGAACTTATTTAATAAAGATTCTATTTTAAGAACTTGTTAATGATAAACTTATTTATTAAGAATTTATTGATAAATAACTGATTAATTAAGAACTTATTTTAAAATAAGAAATTATTATAAAAGAACTGATTATTCAAAAACATATTAACAACATATTGAATGAGAACTTATTAATAAAGAATTTTTCAGAACGTATCAATTAAGAACTTATTAGAACTTATTAATATATAACTTATTAGGACTTAATAATAAAGAAATTAATACAACTTATTAGAACTTATTAAGAAGAACTTATTAGAACTTATTAGAACAAATGAACATACAACTTATTATAACTTTTTAGAACGTATTAAAACGGAACTTGTAAGAACTTAATAATATAGAACTTATTAGAACGTATTAGAACTTGTTGATGAAAAACTTATAACTTATTAACAAAGAACTTGCTAGAACTTATTAGAACTTGTTAATAAAGAACTCGTTAGAGCTTATTAGAACTTATCAATAAAGAACTTATTAGAACTTAATAGTAAGAACTTATTATAGCTTATAAATAAAGAAGTTATTAGAACTTATAATTTAAGAACTTAATAAATAACCTATCAATACTTATTAGAACTTTATATAAAATAAAGAACTTATTTAAAATTAATAATTAAGAAATTATTAGAAATTAGAAATAAAGAACTTTTAAGAAATTATTAATAAAGAACTTATTAGAACTTACTATAACATGTTAATCGACTTATTAGAACTTATTAATAAAGAACTTATTAGAACTCATGAATAGAAAAACTTATCAATAAAGCACTTAATAGAACTTATGAATACAGAACTTATTAGGACTCATCAATAAAAAACTTATTAATAAAGAACTCCGTAGAGCTTATTAGAACTTATCAATAAAGAACTTATTAGTAAAGAACTTATTAGAGCTTATTAATAAAGAAGTTATTAGAACTTCTAATTTAAGAACTTATTAGAACTTATTAATAAAGAACTTATTAGAACCTATTAGAACTTGGTAATAAAGAACTCATTAGAATTTATCAATGAAGAACTTATTAGAACTCATTAGAACTTGACAGAACTTATTTAAAATAAAGAACTTATTAAAACTTAGTAATATAAAACTTAGTAGAACTTATAAAATAAAGAACTTATTAGAACTTATTAATAAAGAACTTATTAGAATTTATTAATAAGAAAACTTAACAAGAACTTGCTAGTTAAGAATTTATTAATAAAACTTATTAATTATAAACATTAATTAAGAACTCGACGATCTCACCGTTTGATGAGATAAAACTCTGCGACGAATGGAACTCTAAAAGAAAACGAATCCGAGACTCAAGACTTAATTGGATCATGAGCTGCTCATTGCTTTTATACACAAAATGTCAGTGCGTACACACAGGCAGCAATTGCCCCAGACTATGCGGCGGTTGTATTGTGGTCTCATCTATCAGAAGCTCATATCACTGCGGTGTCACAGTGATGCCCCTATCACTGCGGTGCCTGTACCTCCACATGGTACACGACCGACACTGCACTCATCTGCATGTCCCGAACAACTCTGGAGTGAGCTAGGTAGGTAGGTAGGTAGGTATTTGCAGCTCCCATTTGAGCGTCGTCTCACCAGTATGAACATAGCCGAACTGTACACGCCGAGGATCGCACATAATGGGTGCACAAGCGGAGCCAATCTTCATCACAGACCATCAGCCTAGACGACCTTATTTGGTAATAATAGAAGGATATAATGATAAGTCTACGGCAGGCGTAGCAGAAGTGGAGATATATGGCTGGTATATTCTTAACTAGTGTCACATCATCTCGTATCTGCAATATCACGCCTGTTGTTCGCTATAGCATGGTCTTCGCACCAGCGAAGGATGTTCTTTCTGCCAAAGCAAAGGTCGCCGAGAAGCTCTCCACGTCAAACCCTAAACTCTAAAACTCTAAAACACTTCCACAAGAAGTCCTTTCTTTCGTAGTATAACAATAGCCGTATGCACCAGTCCATAGACTACAGCGACGACGCCACCATCATCGCAGTGACATGCCCACCGAATGGTAGATATCCACAGACCAGAGACCGCGTGCTGCAAATCACGGCCAAACCAAAGACAAACCAAAGCCAAACCAAAGCCAACCCCAAACAAAACCCGAGCCAAGCCAACTAATCAAACAGCTCGTGCTTGAACCGACAGCCCCTTCCGACTGCAAGGCAACCCATGGCTGTGTCTGAGTACATGCACTGCACATCCGTCTCGTTGGCCTGTGCGCGTGACAGCAGTGTTGTATTTGGTTTCCAGTTCCTTCCACTTCACTGGGCGCGGCCGCTCTGCGCGTGCGAGTCCATGGGATTGTATGTCAATGTTTGCACGAATAGGTGCGTGAAGGGATGGGTTGCTCCGCTGAAAGTCGAGACACATATGTGCTTGTACGTATGTATTGCTTGTACGTATGCTGTTCTTATATACAGGACACGTTAAACGCGTTGACATGAGAGCATATAGTTGCTAAAGTCACCACAGCCTACATCTGCTTGTGCAGGTTTGGGTATAATTGACTAATGACCTCTGCACGATGAGTACGACTCACATTCACGAGTTACGCACACGTACGGTGGAGACCACACAACTGACATGAGCACTACGAACATGTGTTGTAGGGTTTAAACCCTATAAACATGCACCTCTGTAGCAAGTGCAGCTGGTACCTTTACATACAAGAAAGCGTTAACATCTCTCAGAATACGTTGGGAGCTCAAACAACAGTTCACTTTGTTTGTATGCGATAAAACTGAATCTATGTGCACCGGAACAACACGTACCTCTGTAGCACACACACAACACAAACAACACAAATCTCTGTAGCACACCAACCACGCAAACATCACGTACCTATGTTGAACATACACAACACGTACCTCTGTAGCGCACACAAACAACACAAGCAACACAAACAACACATATCTCTGTAGTACACCAACCACACAAACATCACGTACCTATGCTGAACATACACAACACGTACCTCTGTAGCACACAAAAACAACACTAACAACACAAACAACACATCTCTGTAGTACACCATCCACACAAACAACACGTACCTCTGTAGCACACACAGCCGCCACCATTGAAGGGCAAGCAGGTACCGAACTCCTTGAAGATGCACACGAGCTCAAAACAACAGCCCATCCTCCTGTGCAGCTATGCCGTGTAACCCCTGCGCCACAAAGTTGTCTTCCTCAACATAGTAGCACAGCGACTCGTAGAGTGAGCAGGTGATGCGTCCTGTGGTGCTGTGTGTTTCACTCTCCAAGCCTCTCCACTTGAAATAAACATGTGGCACAGTACATGTAGATGACATATAAAAACTCGGGCCTTTTCACCACACGCATCAAAGCACACGTACATGACATATGAATACTCAGATCGTTTCACAGTCAACCTTGTGCGTTAAAACCTAAAACATCACCTGACACGTGCTTGTATGATATAGTATGATATAGTATGGTACAGTATGATATAGTGTATGATATAGTATGACAAGTATTGTTTAGTATGGTTTAGTATGGAAGATTATGAAATAGTGTGATAGAGGGTAATATAGTATAATAAAGTATGCGATAATTTGAATAGTATGATATAGTAGAATATAGTATGATATGTGACAACCTCACAAGTCAACGGATTATAAACTCACCGAAGGAGGCATGTGCGGTGCGTGTTTTGCCACTGTAGACTTGTTGAATATACACGTGTATCTGTCCATGGTGTCGAAATCTGTGGCTTTTCTGAAGCGCGTCCTGTCGTCGTCAACGCAGAAGTTGCCTTTCAGTACAGCCTGCAGAGAGCAGGCACGTGTAAGTGGTAAGTATGTTAAGTGGTACTTATATTAAATGGTATGTATGTTAAAAATAATAAAACCACATCACAATGCCCGATTTGAAGTATCATTGCGACAATTATATATATATATGTATATATACACTGCATGTATATATATACACTGTATGTATATATATACAATATATATAAATATATATATACATTATATATATATATATATATATATATATATATATATATATATATATATATATATATATATATATATATATATATATATATATATATATATATATATATATATATATATATATATATATATATATATATATATATATATATATGTATATATATATATATATGCAGTGTATATATATATATGCAATGTATATGTATATATATTGTCAAGTATCTTCACAGGTAAACAATACTATCTCTGCGATCATAACCGCAATCGTATCTCCAACACAGCTGTGACTGTTGAACCGACTCTCAACCAACCCAAACTCGAGTGCTCCACCCGTAGAGCATATGGTTTTAGGGTTGAGCATATGGTCCTACCTGTAACATCGCACTATACGCCTCCTGTTGGCAAATCTGACTCTGAGCTAATATCGGATTCACCTGTTCGGCTGGTAAGGGATACCTCGGATTGGGCCTGGGGGTGCAGAGAGTGAAAGCTTGATGGGAGAGCACAGACATGCCAACGGTTCGTATACAACATGGTTGGGTGGTTAGCATCGCAGTTACGGCGAGTGGTGCAGGCAGCTATCTTTCCACATAGTTGACTGCCCTATACAACATACAATCACACACAGACAGACGCAGTGACTCCACCTAGACCACCCCACACACGCCCTGAGATAAGCCTTCTTATCACGTAACATGGTTCTTATTTGAGACAGGTATACACTCATCATATCCATGGGAGACCACATAACAACAGACTGACAAGACTCGGTGAGCAGTGTGCGGTTGCCCCTTTTGTTCTACACTACAACGGATTTATTGCATGTATAAGCCAATGCAGGCAGTCTATTTGTCCATAAACAGCTTAAACGAGAGGGTTTGAGGGTTCTTAGGGGGTTGAAGGGTTCTTAGCTAAACCAAACAAAAAAACCGAACTACTATCAGGCATGCGTTAAATAGGTTTGCACCAGTCACTATACAATTACGGGCCGTAGATGTAGTAAGAACCTGACACAAGAATTGTACCCAGATTTGTATTTATGAGCGTAGAAAGAATACCCCAAGTAGCAATGTGAGCAACAACACAAAAGAAACACTTCGATAGGCACGTATCCACCGTAAAACCATCTCATACAGTACACTCTCCTATCCGTTAAACAACTGAAACAATATTATACAGTACACTCTCCTATCCGCTTAACAACTGAAACAATATTATACAGTACACTCTCCTATCCACTTAACAACTGAAACAAGATTATACAGTACACTCTTTTCTTCACTTAACAACTGAAACAATAGTATACAGTACACTCTCCTCTCCACTTAACAACTGAAACAACAGTATACGGTACACTCTTTTCTTCACTTAACAACTGAAACAATTTTATACAGTAAACTCTCCTCTCCACTTGACAACCAAAACAATCTCACACACCGTACACTCTCCTCTCCACTTGACAACGTGCACAGCAGTTATCTACACACTAGGCGTAGACCACCTGACAGTAGGCGGACAGACACTCAGTGCCTAGCAGATGCACAGCAGAGCAGGTTGTAAGTGATGAAATAAAACAACACGGGACGTTTGCATGAGACATTGTACGCACTTGCGTGCACGCCGCATGGCCTCCTCACGGTCCTCTGGGGTCATGCAGGTCTTCTTGTGCGCCTTCCAGTCAGTCCGTTTTCTGGCAGCTCTGGGAGCAGTACCACGCCAACTTGCACTTGCTACATTTGGACAGTTGGCCTTTCTGTGTGAGTGTTCAGGCAGAAGGAAACGCTATTGAAGTGGTCGATCAGACCTATAGAGCGTCACACAGACACAGTGATACACTTGCGGGCAAGCTCACACTAGGCAACGACAATGAGACGATTATGAAACATATATATATATACACGTATATATATATATATATACATACATATACATATACATATACATATATATATACACATATACATACACACACACACACATATATATATATATATATGTATATACAGATCATATACATATACACATATACACATATACATGTATATATACATATACATATAAATATACAAATACATATAAATACATACATACATACACACACACACACATATTATATATATAGATATATTTATATATATATATACGTATATATATTATATATATATATATATACATAATATATACACACACACATATATATATGCATATGTATATATATATATAAGTATATACGTATATATATATATATATATATATTCACATATACGTATGTATAATATACGGCCATTGTAAGTCCATCTTAGTCCCCGATCTTCGCAAACTCCCCCGAACGTTATCGTGGTACACGCCACATAATACACTCCACTCTAGCGACTACCTCCCGACATCTACCTACACTTGCTGAATCCATCCTCTTACAGGCAGTCTTCCCGAGGGTAAAGACTATAGTAACACCTAATCCTACATAGACAGCGCAACACTCCTACCTGAGTATTGCAGCGCGCACAGAATCTGCCACGTGACTTGTTGTCGCTCTCTTTGGTTTTCTCTGCAATCTCTGCGTCACTGGGTGTTGGCGTCAGCCGCCATTCCATACTATCGCACTCGAAGTTAGTGTCCAGGTAGTCTTCCTCACCTGTGGGTCAAACAGTGGGAAATACACGACAAGTTACAATATATAT